AGAGCAAGAACTGCAGGAAGATTACTCTTCCCTCCTGCTTACTGCTCCCTGGGCCGGCCGCCTCCTTGCTCCTTAAGCCGGCCACCTTCTTACTCCCTAGGCTGGCCACCTTCTTTACTCCCTAGGCTGGCCACCTTCTTACTCCCTATGCTGGCCGCCTCCTTGCTCCCTAGGCCAGCCACCTTCTTACTCCCTAGGCTGGCCACCTTCTTACTCCCTAGGCCGGCCGCCTCCTTGCTCCCTAAGCCGGCCGCCTCCTTGCTCCCTAGGCTGACCACCTTCTTACTCCCTAGGCCGACCACCTTCTTACTCCCTAGGCTGACCACTTTCTTACTCCCTAGGCTGGCCACCTTCTTGCTCCCTAGGCCGGCCGCCTCCTTGCTCCTTAGGCTGACCACCTTCTTACTCCTTAGGCTGACCACCTTCTTACTCCCTAGGCTGGCCACCTTCTTACTCCCTAGGCTGGCCACCTTCTTACTCCCTATGCTGGCCGCCTCCTTGCTCCCTAGGCTGGCCACCTTCTTGCTCCCTAGGCTGGCCACCTTCTTACCCCTATGCTGGCCGCCTCCAGTATTTGCACCTCTGTAGTAGGGTTTCAGATAGATCAGATAACTTTTTCTATGGTGATGATGAAGGTAAAAAGAAAAAAATGTAGGGATGTTTTGGAAATTCTTCTCTCGTTAAAGTATGCCTCAGTTCAGACGAATACTCACTTTGAATATAATCTTTGTGAAATATTGTAACCACATTCAAATACAAAGACTTTGGCCACCATTCTGGCCACGTGCTAGTCTATTACAGTAGTCAGACACGTGTCTCTTTGCATGGATTTTACATTATACATTGCGTGGTGTGTTTAATTGCTGGGAATGGGATCCAGGATTAGTGAATCCTAACAGCTAACGAGACAATAACGGTGAACCCCCCACTGCTAGGATAATCAATGTCCTCAGTCAGCTCTCTATCATTTGCATTTTACAAGATGGGTTGCAGAGCTTAATGGGCCACATTCTGCGACCTTAAATTGCCCACGTGTATTACAGACCAGTGTTATGTTACAAAGGGAATTTGCATTGCTGAACCGTGTGGTTGTAAGATAATATCTTTTGGTCTGGTTAAAGCTGATTCACTTAAGTGGCGCTACGAACGCCACTTCTGTCCCAACTAAATCATTAACTGCTATATTTACTGTCCAAACTAAAACCAAAGGTTTCAGTTGGTTGAAGAAGGTTTCCATTATTGAGCTTTTTTTTCTGTTCTCATTTAAAAAAAAAACTCTTTTGAATTGCTTTATATGTACAATATATGGGAGATGGGTTATAAATCGAGCCATTATTTCTAATTAAACCTCTAATTAATCCATAAAGTTGTTGAATATTTTAAAACTGGCAAACCTTTTTCTTCTACCACTTTGTCATCAAATAATATCTGGGCTTCTTCTCCAGTACAAACATGCCGGTATAGTAAATAGGAAATTATTGTATCTGTGTGTTTCTAGAACTAACCAGGAATCCACCACTACTGTGCATAGCTTACATGGTATTCTATGAGAAACAAAAATATATATATTAAAGCTATAGCTTCAAACGCATTGACTTCCTTCGGTCAGGAACACAAACCACAAGAGCCGGGTTTCTTTCTTGAAACCGACACCGTTGATATAATATTTGACCCAGGGGAATCAGCCTGCGTTTTGCTATAATGAGTAAAGACGACTTTGGAGTATGTGATACACTTGTTCTGTACTATTGCCCAGGGCATCCTACCCATTATGTCCGCAGATGCCCACACATGAGATTTTCGAACATTCATTCCTATTATGTAAACTTATTGTAGTCTGAACCATTGGATGAGAGTTACAAAAGTTTCCCTAACAGAAAAGTATAGAAAACTGATGGTATCAATATGTTAACCAGAGGAATGTTTCTGCTGAATTTTTTTGGGTTTCAATTGCAATTTATCCACGTTTCAGTAATCTTCTCTATATACTTGCTTCTACTTGATGATTTTCCCAGAAGTTTCTAAGCTTGCAGCAAGAACCCTCTCTCTTTGTTAGTCATGTAATACTGATATCATGTGATGTAATAAGATAGCGTTTAGTTGCACGGATAATAGCTTTGTCCAACTGAACCTTCCTAAAATCCCAACTTGCCACTTCACACCCTATCCAGGAATTTCAGATCTCCTAATTATATCCCATCTTGTTTCCAAACTGTCAATCTTTGAGATTGAATGCATGTATTGTCTCACATCCATGGTAGCATTAAACATCTTCAGGAACTCTGTGCCAGTTTTATAAAGGTTGCTAAGTGATACCAGAATTTACCATTACCATCTTGCAATTTAGAGCTTTGTTGTTTCTTTAGTAGAAAGGTTGGTATCAAGAGTGAGGCAACACATTATTTTTCATTTAAAGGGATACTATAGTGCCAGGAATACAAAGCTGTAAGGGCGACTATAGAGGTGGACAGGGGAGACACAGGTACACTATGGGGTGGGACACCACCACAGCCCGCCAAGCTGAGGCCGGGGCACCAGAGAGGTACACCATAACAAACCCCCCACACCTCCAGCTAGCCCACTGATTAGATGACAACTCAACCGCCCAAACTGCTAAGAAAGGGCTAAAGTGGGGAAACTGAGAGGAGTGTCTGGCACCACACCGAACGGTGGACAGGACCAGGGCGCACTCCCGCCCCACACGCAAACCATGTAAGCCATGCCACATGCCACTGACATTCGCTCTACTACCACCTGAACACAACACTAACTATAAAGATCACCAACAACGGGGAGAAAAAGAAAACGAAACACTGGGCCAGGTCAAACTAACAGGGCACATAGCTGTCAGACAGACCCTGGGGCTTAGGTTCAGCCAGGACGGACAGTTGAAGTAAATCTAAAAACCCACATCAACTGAAAGAAACGTAGGCCACATGAGTCATAGCCATTGTTGTCACTGATTAACCAAATGTAAACTACGAACCTGCAACGCTAAAGTGTCATTACTTGTTACTATCCCTGTTTAATTGTCAAAACTTCAAAATAAAGAATGTAAAAAAAAAATGATTAAAGAACAATTTTTGCAACTATAATATGATTTAGAACTTAAGCAGTGTATTATATTTGCACAGATGCTTGGCAGATATGAATTGTGAACTGTATTACTTAAACCAGTGGATCTTGACTCCTGGGTCAGGGCCCAAAATTGATTCCCAATGCTATTTTAGTGTGTTAAAAGAAAAAAGTTCTGTCCTTCAGGCCCCAGCCAACTGCTCACATTAAATGGTTCACTACTTTGACTATAGTGCAATAGAGAACCGTTACCCAGAGAAGCTTCTAATGTTTATTGAGTTTATTTTATTATCGTTTATTTATTTGCAATTAAGCAATGGACTGCTGAGCTAACATCATGTATATTTGGGTACCTGTAAAAAAAAAAAAAAAAAAGCTTTTCCTGCAGCTCCTGTCAGCTCCCTTCTCTCTCTTCCGGTCAGCTCCCCTGCAAGTCTCGAAAGAGCCGCGGGGTCAGAGCGTTGCCAAGGGTTACCGTGGCAACGCTCCGCGCGGCACTCACACCGCGAGACTTGCAGGGGAGCAAGTATTAATATAACAAAAAAAATTAAATATTAAAATAATAATAATTTTAATTAATAAAAATGCCCACCCCCCACCAAGGCTCTGCATCACATACACACACACACACTCTGCATCACACACACACTGCATTCATACACACACTGCACTCATACACACACACACACTGCACTCATGCATCACACACACTGCACTCACACACACACACTGCACTCATACACACACACACTGCACTCATACACACACACACTGCACTCATACACACACACACTGCATTCATTCACACACACACACTGCATTCATACACACACACACTGCATACACACACACTGCACTCATACACACACACTGCACTCACACACACTGCATTCATACACACACACTGCACTCAAACACTGCATTCATATACACACACTGCATTCATACACACACTGCACTCACACACACACACACTGCATTCATACACACACACTGCATTCATACACACACACACACACACACTGCATTCATTATATACACACACTGTAAATAAATATTCAATTAATATAATTTTTTGGGGATATAATTTTATTTAGAAATTTACCAGTAGCTGCTGCATTTCCCACCCTAGTCTTATACTCGAGTCAAGAGGTTTTCCCAGTTTTTTGGGGTAAAATTAGGTGTCTCAACTTATATTCAGGTCGACTTATACTCGATGATATATACGGTATTTACATCATGGTTGTGGGTCGGCATTCTATATAAATACCCAATTAGTAGACACAGGGCTGGATTAACATAGGGGCTGATGGAGCTGCAGCTCCAGGCCCAGGCCCATGGAATAGGCCCATTTAAAAAAAATTTACACACTACTCTTGGGTTTGCCACCTGACTGGTATTTTAATGGCACAGATGGTATTTGAGGCTGCCTGGCCGTGCCAGTATTGCAGTAATACCGGCAGAACAAATGCAGGTAATTTTCTCAGAACAAATGGAAATTACTCTGCAATACCAGCACCGGCCAGTAGGGGTGTGGAGAGAGGCAGGGATAGGAAGTTACAGAATATCCCTGCCTCTTTCTACTACTCACTGACCCATGGGGGAGCAGCAACACAGCACAGAGAGTCCAGACAGCAGCTGTACAGCTCAGGTAAGTGAGGGATGGGGGGAAAGGCAGCAGGGACACATGGGGACACTGAGACACTAGGGGACACATGATGACACATACACTAGGGGACACTGAGACACTAGGACACAGACACTTGGAGACCCGGGAACACTGAGACACTTGGGGACACTGGAAAACATGGGGACACTGAGACACTAAGGGACACTGAGACACTTGGGGACATGGGGACACAGACACTAGGGGATACAGACACTAGGGGACACATGGGAACACAGACACTAGGGGACACTGAGACACTAGGACACATGGGGACACAGACACTGTGAGACCTGGGGACACAGACACTTGGGGACACTGGAAAACATGGGGACACTGAGACACTAGGGGATACATGGGGATGCTGGGATGCCAGTGTCCCTAGTGTCTCAGTGTCCCCAAGTCTCCCAGTGTCTGTGTCCCATGTCTCTCAGTGTGCCTAGTGTCCCCATGTGTCCCAATGTCCCCATGTCTATGTCGACAACTGTGCCCATGTCTCCCCAAGTATCTGTCTCCCAGCCAGTGTCCCCTAGTCTCCCAGTGTCCCCTAGTCTCCCAGTGTCTGTGTCCCTAGTGTCTTAGTGTTCCCAAATGTTTCAGTGTCTCCATGTCTCCCAGTGTCTGTGTTCTTAGTGTCTCAGTGTGTCTGGTGTCCCCATGTCTCCCAGTGTCCCTATATGTCCCAGTGTCCACATGTCTATGTCCACAACTGTCCCCATGTCTCCCAGTGTCCCCAAGTGTCTGTCTCCCAGCCAGTGTCCCCTAGTCTCCCAGTGTCCCCTAGTCTCCCAGTGTCTGTGTTCCCATGTCTGTGTCCCTAGTGTCTTAGAGTCCCCAAATGTTTCAGTGTCCCCATGTCTCCCAGTTTCCCTAAATGTCTCAGTGTCCCCATGTCTCCCAGTGTCTCCATGTCTCTCAGTGTCCCCAGTATCCTAGTGACATGGGGACACACTGAGACATTGGGAGAAATGGGGACACAGACACTGGGTGACATGGGGACACTGACACTGTGATACATAGGGACACTGAGACACTGGGTGACTTGCGAGACTGAGACACTGGGAGACAGGGAGACACTGGGAGCAATCCATCTATACAGCAGAATCAAACTGAGTAGTTTGTTGGTGATTTTACAGAATTTTCTCTGATGTCACTCCTTGTGATTTACACGCATAACCATAGGCGTGCGCACGGGGTGTGCCGGGTGTGCCTGGGCACACCCTAATCCCCGTGCGCACCCCTATGGTTTGAGTCCTGCAGGAACAGCGTTCCTGCACTCTTTTGAGCAGGAACGCTGTTCCTGCAGGCACTCAGTGCCCCCTGTTTCACCTCTTGCCCCTGTCATGGGAGGGCAAGAGGTGATGATTCCTCCCCCCCACCCTGCAGCTCAGCCGCGGCGAGGGAGCTCTCTGCTCTCTGCTCTCTGCTTCCTCTCGCCGCGCGCTGATGCCGGGAGCCGGAATATGACGTCATATTCCGGCTCCCAGAGCAGACAGCCCGCGCGGCGAGAGGAAGCAGAGAGCTCCCTCGCCGCGCGCTGACCTGCAGAGAGGCGCCCGCCCCCACTGGACCCCAGGGACAAGTCCACCAGCACTCCAGGTAGGAGGCTGGGTGGACATTTAAAAAAAAAATTAAAATATAATAATTTGTGTGTGTGTCTGTGAGTGTGTGTGTCTGTGAGTGTGTCAGTGTGTGTCTGTAAGTGAGTGAGTATGTGTCAGTGTGCGTGAGTGTGTGTGTGTGTCAGTGTGTGTCTGTGAGTGTGTGAGTATGTGTCTGTGAGTGTGTGTCAGTGTGTGTCTGTAAGTGTGTGAGTATGTGTCTGTGAGTGTGTGTGTCAGTGAGTGTGTGAGTGTGTGTCTGTGAGTGTGAGTATGTGAGTGTGTGAGTATGTGTCAGTGTGTGTGTCAATGTGTGTCTGTGAGTGTGTGAGTATGTGTCTGTGAGTGTGTGTCAGTGTGTGTCTGTGAGTGTGTGAGTGTGTCAGTGTGTGTGTGTGTCAGTGAGTGTGTGTGTGTGTCTGTGAGTATGTGTGTGTGTGAGTGTGTGTGTCTGTGAATATATATATACGTGTATATATATATGTATATATATATATATATATATATATACACACACACACACACACACACACACACACACGCGCGGCGCGTGTGTTTGTGCTTTAGGGTGCACACCCTAATGCAATAGGCTGCGCACGCCTATGCGCATAACTAATTAATTATACAAATTATTAAGGCTGGTATTTTTTTCCAAGAAAGGTGGCAACCTTAACTACTCTTCACATACTCTTGCCTAAAGGAGCACTATAGTGTCAGGAACACAATCATGTATTTCTCACCCTATTATGTTAAAACCACCACCCTGGCCCCTTCGTCCCTCCCTCAATATAGTAAAATATTACTTGTATTCAATTCTGCAGCTGCTGGCTCAGAAGTGGTGGTCTGAGCAAATTACAATACTTCCCCATAGGATTGGCTGAGACTGTCAACTAGGCAGATCAGGGGCAGAGCCAGCACAAGTCCAACATAGCCCTGGCCAATCAGCATCTCCTCATAAAGATACATTGAATCACTGCATCTCTATGAGGAAAGTTCAGTGTCTGCATGCAGAGGGTGGAGACACTAAATGGCAGTGCTGCACACTAGGCAGTACTGCCCCAGGAAGCACCTCTAGCAGCCATCTAAGGAGCGGCCCGTGGAGTTATTTTCTCTGAAAATACAGTGTTTACTGCAAAAAGCCTGAATGGAATGATTCTACTTACCAGAACAAATACAATAAGCTGTAGTTGTTCTGGTGACTATAGTGTCCCGTTAAGTTGGAAACTTAAGAGGGATGTATGGGAACAAAACTTGTGTGCACTGGCTGACAAAGTTATTTTAGGTAATGCAGACATTGGTCTCTCTAACACTGTGGCATGTCCCCTTTCTTCTACACTCACTACAGACACCTTTTCTCTGTCTCAGACTATACCAGAAACTTCTGCCTGCTAGTAAGACGGTAAGGAGACAAGTGGACCAGCCAGTGCTAGGGGACAGTCCTTAGAAAGAATGGAGTAAGCGCATCATTAGACGCATTTATGTCAAGCTTAAGGTGCTGCCTGCATAGTATGCCCTTAGTTGGACAGCCTTGAGGATTGGCAGGCAGCTTGACATGCATTCATGCCAGGCTGACCTTCCAATTCTTTGGACAAACATGCCCCCTTTTTGGGCATGTTCACCCCTTTTGGCAGGTCTTGTCACGTGATTTGCGCCAGTGGCACACCCTTTTACCCCGCCCATTGACTTCCTGCTTCACTGGACACTGCTGTTAGGGGTTATGGATTTACTTGAAAGATGAAAGCATAAATTAGAGAGAAATTAGCATAGAGTATGTGTTTTCTTATAGCTGCATCCCATGAGTTTCCCTCCAGCACCATCTCCATCAGATACATGACGCTTGGGAGGTATGATTGTTTTAGTGTTTTTGGTCGATAAGATTCCGTAATTAGGCCCATCATAATTGTCAGCACCAGGCCCACTGTGCTCTTAATCCGGCCCTGAGTAGACATCCATCAGATCCTGGAGTCTGTAAGCAATAAAGAATGTGAGAGATCTTCTTACCCCAATACCTCTTTTTTTATCTTTCAGTGCCGTTGCCTTTTACTTTCAACTGCTAGCTAACTTTTCTAACCGTGTACAGGAATGCAAAATTGCGTTAAGAGGAAGTCCACTTACAAATGGCAGCCATTATTTGTAGCGATACTCTCATGGGACCATTTATAATGACTTGCATGATTACAGAGCATGCGTTGGACCAAACTGCAAGTGTGCAAATTTCTGTGTACCCTGTTATTCGTTGTCCAAGTCACAAAACCCAGACCCGTCTTAACCTAAAGCTGTACCTACTGGGGGCACCATTTTTGGACCGATCCACTATAGATAACACATATGTTTCTTTTATTTCTTCCTTATGACTAGAGCTGCGGAGGAGGGTAAGAGGGAACTGTGAGTGCTCACTAAAGACCCAGTTTTTGTCAAAATGTTACAAAATAGTTTCATGGAAATATGGAATATGTCACCCACACAGTCAGAGCACAGTAACCACTACACTGGGCGTCCGTTGAACAATTTTGTAGTGCAGGATATTAGCTACTATTGCTCATCATTAAGGGAATTCAAACACAAATGTAATTGTTTCATCAAGGCACAGGTTTCAAGCAGTACGCCTGAGTGTTGTATGTTAGGAAACTGAGCCCCTGCTGACTCAGTGATACATCTTCCTATCTGTAAGAACTATCCCTGGCGCTCGTCACACCTAGACTCCTAAAATACTATCACACTACTTGGAGTGGAGGGGGTGTAGGGGATAGAAACATGATCCTGTGAAAACATGACAATTTAGGAGCATTTTAAATACATAATGAGAAGGCATTTAATAATTTTCCCCTTGTTTATTAAGAATTTGCCATCAGGAATTTGATAACATTGTAAATTTAATACCTCTATTTCCGTAACCGTCCTTCAAGTCGCTGGATTTTATTAGCTGGTGTTAACTGGGCACGTTGGGCACAGAGTGAAGGATGAGACAGAATAGGAAGGAAACTACTGGCTCAGTGACAGCTTTCTCAGTGGGAACAGCACAAAAAGTGTCTAACTCAGATAGGCGCAGTCCGTAAAGAAAACTCTGACAGCTCTTGCCCTAATATAACAAGTAGCATTGAAGAGCCAAGCTTTTTGTTTTGTTCTATTTTCGATATGGGTATTCATTGGTATATAAAGCTTTCTTATATTAGAATGAAGTTAATGGGACCCCCAAACCCCTAAAGTACTTCAGCTTGCATTTTATTAGGCGGTCCCCGAGTTTGGTTGCCAAGCATGTGCCAATTTTCTCTAGACAGGAAAGAACACTCGTCACTGACAGTCTCCCTGGGGTGGAGGAGAGCAGCACTGTGAGATTTATTTATTTTTTATTTGAGGGGAGGGGGCAGCGCTGTTAGGGTTAAACAAACACTTTTGGCTGTAATTTTGGAATGTTCCTTTTAGCATGATTATTACTCTTTTTCTTCTGCATATAAAACCATAGATTTCAGCTTTTGTTTCTCTGTTGTCCTGCTTCAGGAGAAATATGAGTAAGTTCCAAAAAAGTGCAGTCTACGTGTGTTATTAAAGGGACACTGAAGATATAGTGCCAGGAATACAGCTTTCTATTCCTGGCACTATAGTATTCCTTTAAATGAATAAGACTTTTCCAGGACATTATTAGTTGTACAAAAGCACTTTAACAGCAGGGTTACCTATCATGGTGAAGTGCATACACTCTGTGATAACATGCACCTTTAACAACAATCACCAGTGATGATGTAAAATAATTGTATCACTGGTACACCCCTATGTTGATACACCCTACCACCCCACTCATATATTTCTTGCCAATGTTGGCAAGAATTGTATACCCTAACACACTCCTCAGAGACTGAATGCAGCACTAGGAGCTATCTTTACTGCCAAGTATCTGTCTTTAGGAGGGACAGTCCCTATTTTGAACACAATTATCTCTTCCCCATGTTAATATCACTTTATTATCGGAGTTCTAAAACTTTGGAGCATACAGCACTGTAGTGTATCTTTAAACTGTGATACATGTGTTTAGAAATGTATTTTTCTTTTTAATACTTGATAAGCAGTAATAGGGCATGCACTTACCTAGAATGTCCTTTAACAGCTGCGTTCTTGCTCTTACAAACATCCACGCATCATACAGCCATTTAAACGTATGGGAGGTATGACACATTCCCAGTGGAGACCTGGATTCATAAACCAGATACGCTTTATATATGCTTTTGGAGGCAGGTTTTCAAGTGCAATATATTAACTAAAGTGGATGTGTCACTCGGGGGTGGATTCTGCCAAAAATAGTGCACGTGTCAGCCTGAAGTGTATGTGCAATAGGCCGATTGCTTGACGTGCCGGCCGCCCTCTTTAGGGACAACGTGCGGGACAAGGACCCAATATAAGGATGGCCAAATCCGTGACACTTGACAGTGTGTAGATGTTTGGGGTTTTTCTTTCATAGCCTATAAACTTTTTATAGCTTGTATTTAGTGTGATAATTTCATGGCATTTCAGCAGTATTCCATTTAGAACCTATGTGTTCCGGAGAAGCTTTTCCATTTCCTGTTTATGCTGTCATTGACAAAGATATGATCACTTGACCATTTTTAAAGGTTTCTAGTTTATCCAGTGTCAATAAAAATTTTTTTTTTTTTTAATTTTTTTTTTTACCATTTCTCTCGAGCTTCAGAATATCAAACAAAGCTATTAAACACAGAAAGAATTAATTGTAAATCTTTAGTGCCTATGAAAATCTGTCCTCGTCGGATATAAAAAATATATATATATTTATATAAAACAAAGGCCTTTTCTCCTTGCACATGCTGTAACATGCATAAATCTGAGTTAAACAATTCTCATAAAAAAAAGAAATATTTGGAAATGAATGCTGGCTCATGCTGAGAACATTTTGACTTGGAAGATCAGAGTGAAAGCCAAAGCAAAGGAGCTTGTCACAGTCATCAGGGCATTAAAAAAAATCAAAAAAAAATCAACAAACCGGGTTGATATAAAATGCTGCAAAATATTAGGACAGACCAGATTTACCGTTTCCATTTACACAGACATTAATAAGAGCAATTATGTCAATCAGAATTCATGGACGGGGGATGGGAAACTTTTTTTTTTTTTTTTAATAGTTTTTTATTCACAAGCATGCAAGAATGACACAGATTGCAATATGGTTACAATTATGATGCCATTTGTGAAACTATTTTTTTTTTAAGTATTATTTATTTTTAAAAAACATAAGAATATATATAATTTCTTTGCAATATTTCGAAAATGAAGTCACAATAGCTGCAGTGTTTTTAAAGCAAAGCTTGTGGTTGAAATTATAAGAAATCTGACAGTTCTTATAAGAATTTACATAATTGCAGCCAGAAAATTGACCTGGAAGTGAATGTTGCGACCTTTGAGTTGTATAATTTCCTATAGGTATAATATTGGCCTCTCCATAGTGTGAGAAAAGTACACAGTAGTTCATCCAAGGAATATATACTACGACATAGCAGAAATGATTGAAAATGCTAATACAGATCTTGTGGTTCAAAAT